CCGCTGACATATGCCAACTGTTCAGTTTATGAGTTGTCTGGTGAATTAACAACAATGATTAGATGCTGGTATGGCAGTGACCTATTTAGAAGAGGGGATGACTGCACAAAAAACATGCAGGTCAACTCAGAACATATCAAGATTTTTTCTGTATTATGAGGTCCCGTTGAATTGCTACTATAATATAGTTACTGTGAGAATATCAATATGTCCAGATATGTTGTATTTACTATGGTCTGAAAGTAATGATTATTTTCATTATCGAATCATCTGTCAATAGTTATTTAAATCTATCTTTCCCTAAAAAAAAATGTATTCCCATTAAAAATGTGAAATCCCAATTCGTTCAAATCAAGGTTTTGGTTTTTTAAATGTCTTGTTTCATCAGCCAAAAACTCAAATTAAAAAATATTCAAGAAAACAATTTTTTTTTTTCATTTCTGCTTTAGGAATAAAATAAACCAATTCTCAAATACTTGCAGATTATTTGTCAATTTATCAATTTATCAATTAGTTGATTTATTGTTGCAGCTCATACAGTAGTAAAGTACATATACACTGATGTTTATTTAACTTTATATACACAATGAAGCATTCATTCGAATAAGTAACAACAGTATAAATACTCTATATAGCCAATGACCCCCATAGTTCAAACTGATCATACCATTTTCAAGAAAAATCTCAATAAGCAAAGTGATTTAAAATGATAGCTACCATGTAATGTAATGCCTGGTAATATACTGTATGTAGCTGTCTATGAAGTGTAGTGGAAGAGAAGCTAAAAATGGTACATAGTAATATTTTTACACTGTTATAAGTGAGTAAATACAAAGCCATTTGTCCAGTGTGGGACACAAGAGTTTTGTATGTCTCTTGTATACAAATTGTCTGTAAAAATGGCTCCCAGCTTCATGACTCATGATCCATTGAAGACGTAAATCTCGCCTCACAAATAAAAAAATGTTTAAGGCTCAGTACGTCCTAGTACTGCGGGCCAGTAGCTTTCAGAAAACATAGTCTAATAGAAGGTTATACTGCATTTGTTGGGAACAATCTTTGGTGCCAGAATATTCCACATATTCCTTTTTTTTTTTAGTGCTCCAAAAATAAGTATAAGGAAGGACGGTTTATTTGGGATTGAGTTCAAAACAACCATGTGTTCTTGGGAGTAAAGGAAAATGTCTCCTAGTGTTGCTCATTGATGCGTTTTTAAAATGTTTCTCACATAGGAATATTATATATTAGTTGGATAAAGCGGAATACTTGTGATCGGTTGTCTGAATATGGGATGAGTTGGTCATCTTCTGTCTAACACTGTTCAAATAAGATATACTCACCCAATCTATATAACCTAACACACAGCTACTCTAACTGTAACTGGGACACTGAAATAAAGACCAGGGCTTTTCCCCCTCCCCCTCCAGCTTCTATAAATCTGTCTGTTGCTAGATGGATGGATGACGACGGGGAGTTTGAAGTATCGGAATTGTAAAATATGAGGGTAAACGTCAATCAGTATTGATCTGCGCACAGAGATATAATCAAGGGCCTTTGGATTATGAATCATCCCTCACATACAAAAAAACGAGTGTCGGTTTATTTATATAACAACTGAATTATCTTATTCCAACAGATGTTAAATTACTCTCTGTCATTTCGACATAAATGGTAAGACAGAAGAAGAGTCATTATGAAAAGGCAGAATCGGGCCGGTAAGTGGATGTAGATACAGAAAACGTACCGTTTGTAAAGCTATGATTTGACTGTGGGGATTAAAATGGATAAAAGTGAAACAGCATGTGGCGGGGAAGGCTTTGCAGTGACCTTTGACCTCCCAAAATCCCTTAAAAATGAGTATTATGTTCTTTCTAAAACACATGTTAACAGTAGACAAGGCTCATAATGTTATATGTCACTGAAAGTCACTGTACATTTGGTTTGGGTTGAAAGGTTTTCCATTTCCAGTTGCCCACTTGGTTCAATAACCCACTAAATCTGGCTTTTGTTTCCAGTGGGAAAGGTTGCAATTGGCATTTGTTCCTGGAAAGAATATCTGGCTCAACGCTCTGATGAAGAGCAATTAAGGAAATGTTTAACAAATAGAAATTCAACGATTTTGACAATTATTATAATGTATCAACATACACACACTTAATATGCTCTCCTTAAAACCACCAGGCCCTAGTCAGACAAAAGCAATTGAACTTCCCGATGATCGTAAAACACACATATTTCAAAAGCAAATGAAACAATAAATCTCATTAACACCATCACTCTTATTCTTTCAGTTGATCCAACAATGAGAACATCTGGTTAGAGAGTATGAAAGAGAGATTAAGTAGTCGATAGAAAGTAACTATCACTGTTTACTAACACTGCAATTGTGACTTTGATCAAGACTGGATCCATTTTTAAAAGAGAGTAACGACAGTCGCATAGACTTCTGTTGAAATCTAAATGTCATGGAGCGACCAAGCAAATCCGAGTTGATGAAATGATGCGTTTTTTATCATATTAACATTAGCTTATCTTAAAGGAATTTAGAGCTAGGTTTAGCTAGGACAATATATAATTTAAGATTGATTTTAATGCCATGTTAGCAACATGTTGCTAGCTGGGATGTTATGTCACGTTAATTGACCTATATTTTGCTCAAATTATTTGCTGTAGAAGATTTTTTTCTTAACACATAAAAGGGACACTTCCTCTCTTAGTTCATCAACCAATGAAACCATGGTAATGGACTGATTGTTGACATTGTGTGCATGGTTGTGTGTGTGGTTGTTTTCATGATATCACTACATGGTAGTGAAATCATGTAGTGTCCCGACTTTTTAAATGGCATTGAATATGAAGCATCAGAAAAAAATGGTATACTCATCCAGCCAATGGTAAAGGTTTTTATTATCTATTCAAGCAAGATATCCTGTGTTTGATAAACTTTTATATATGTGCTAAATATGCGTAATAGCAGTAGCAGTGGCAGTAGAAACAGTTGTAGTCGCAGCAGTAGCAATAGAAGTAGAACCGTTAGCAGTACAAGAAGCAGGACCAGTAGCAGTATTAGAAGGAATAGAAGTAGAAGTGGCAGGATGTGTGGCAGTAGTAGAGCAGATAAGTACTAGTAGTTATAGTAACAATAATTGTGCTAACAGGTGTAATTGATGTTGGTAGGCGTCGTGGTTAGCTTCTGGAAAGTCACTATAGCTGAATGTGAGCTGTAAGTGCGAGTTGATTCCACTATTGCTCATGTAGAGCACCCACACACATAAATAATCTCCACGGTTGCATCCTTATTGACCCATCAAGGTGAAGTTATTGTCAAATGCATCATGATCACAAACCGCGCTGTACTTTTCCATGCTGATGGAGCTGAGAGCTGGAACCGATCAAACCCCTCTATGGAGGCATTCATCTGATCACTGAGCACACTCACTGTGGGCTACCCATTACTGCAGATGGTAAGCCATCAAGACCATTGAGGCGTCCTCAAAGGAAAGCACAGCTGCAGCACACACACGCACGTATTCAAAGAGCACACACACCCTCGCCTCATGCAGCAGCCTCCATCAGAAACATGACTGTCTTTTAACACAAAACAAGTCAGTGCAGCACCGGGGACACACATCAAAACTTGTATTAGAGTTCAGATTATATGATTACTTTTAACGTTTGTCAGGAAAACAGGAATCACGGTGGTTGTTTGAATGAACTCTAGGATTTACCGACAATTGAACGATAGATTAACTGTCATGTTTCATACTGCGATTGCTATGATGACCCTCATATCCTGGCTCAGCTCAGTAATATTTCATCATGTTTCCTGAAATGTTGGGAACCCCAGGGTTAAATGTTTATTTCAAAGCATGTATAAAATAATGACAGGTGGTTTTGTCTTACGACTTCTCATTTTGTTGGACCATTATTAAAACAAGACCGATCATTCAGATGTAATCCAAACAGTGTACCCAATTTATAGATTGTCCACCAAAGACCACTTGATTGACCCGGCTTAAAACATTGATTTTTACATTTGAAATGCTCAGTAGGTTTCATGGCCATAAGGAAAACATCTATAGATCAATAATATAATGTTGATGACAAATCTAATAAGTCCATCAAGTTTGGTTGTTTGTGTTAAAAGGTCCTGGTTCAATATAGTCTATATTAAGCAGACTTTTTATTCCCAACTATCAGTTTCTATCTAAAAAAACATGTAGATTTTACAAAGAAACTGAAGGTGTTTGCTGAGGACAACAATATAAAACACCATAAATCAATTATTTAAATGTTTTGAAAATGCAAACAGAAGATGTTGTGTATTTTACCTGATAAAAAAACAAGCCCTAAGGCCCTTTTCTAAGTCAGAAATGTAGTTTTAACACTGCGATATTGAGCAGATACCTACACTAATCTGTGTAAAGTTTGTATTATTCCAGCATTAAGAATACTATAGGCTACACATGTCAGAGTGTGGGGGGAAATTGGGATTTACTTTGATTAAACCATCTCTCTTTTGGACCCTAGCAAGTGATTACAGCCACAGGCCTGTATACTGTACATTTAGACCTATGTCAGTCAGTCTCTAGACACAGAGCAAAGGTAACAATCTTGAGTTACTGACAAGCCCATACACCCTGAAATGATTATGTCATTACTTGCAGTTGTAGGGTCAGAAGAGCACCACTTCTACAATAAGATCACGTATACTAAAACTACTTTTAGCCAGCGTCACAATTAACATGCACCCCTTTCCTGCAACATAGCATGAGCCCAAACAGTCTGTATGCTTATACCCCAGGACGTTCAACTCACTCATATAGACAGTGAAGATGTGGACAAACATTAGTTAGAAAATAGCTCCATGCCCTTGTTCGCCCTTTGGTCACATAATCAATCACCAATCTAATTCATTTTCTGGATACATGTCACATCCTTATTGTGTCTGATATGTCTGCAACAATAACTCTTTATCTGTCTGTTTAATTCATTCCTACCTTTCCGGATCTGGTCTTCGATTTCTTGGTCGAAGCCCACTCGATGGCATTTCCTCCACAGCCCCATGTTTGTAGAGTTATACTGCCTGCTGCACTCATCCGCGGCGCTCATGGCGAACAGCTGCCGCCGGTTCCGGGCCAGCAGCAGCTTCTCCTCCCAGCGGGGCAGGCTGCTCCGGCTGGCCCGCAGAGGCAGGCTGTTGTTGGGGATGTAGATGAAGCCCGGGTCCTTGCGGCGGCTGGAAAAACTTCGGCACCGCTCCCTGTATCTCCTGGCGTCGGTCTCGTACCAGTGGTCGGAGCACATCGCCACAGCCAGCATGCCCAGGGCGCAGAGAGAAAGAGAGAGCCCGGCGTAGAGCAGCAACTTCCCGGCAGCCATGCTGTCACAGCCGCATCAGCACCTCGACAGACGGACAGCTCCTCTGCGGCTTCCCCGCGACTTCAGCTCACATCACCTCTGGAGAGCAGGACCATGATCGAGGTGTGGAAAGAGAAGGCAAACCTCATTGACTGACAGACACAGTTTATTCCTCTTATTCCGGTGGTGTGGGCTTCGCGGTGACAACGTCTCTTCCTGCGTGGCTTTGCAGCAGCTCGGCGGAGACAGAGGACGCTTATCTCATCTCATCTTCAGCATCCATCCGTCTAAAGCAGGGCGACACCAACAAACACACTAAGCACAGCATTCGAGTCTAGTCAAGCATATTATCATTCACACCAAATGCACCCTCACTGCAAAACCGTCACTAAATCAAACGATGGACAAACACGGGGGCAGCTTTAGAAACTGCTAGAGAAAATCGTGCAGCAGGATTTAGCAGAAGCCTATTTACAATACAATGGCATATAGCCTACTAAAACAGCAGCATTATACGACTTACATGGCGGGAACCGCTTAGATATAGCCTACCTGGTCTATCCAAATTGAGCCCATGCAGACCGCAGTCCATCAGCAGGAGAGGGGAGAGGGATCAGTCAGCATCCCCAGCACGTCTGATAGGATGACGGCCTGTCCGTGGACCAATCAACGGCCAGCTGTCTGGAGGAACACCGAGTTAGCTTACATGCTACATGAGATTTGATTAGACAAACTAACAGTGGTGGATTTTTTTTTTAAAGTGGGCTAAATTAACTCAAGTACTGTACTTAAGTTCTCTTTTGACTACTTGTGCTCACATTTTGGCAACTACCATGACTTCTTCGTTCTTCCAATACATTTTCAAGGCAAATGTTGTAGCCATAGCCTACGTAAAACTCCGCTACGTTAATTCAACACATAGCCTACAAGTTTGAGTGCTAGTTACTATCCACTTAGCTAGTTTCGAGCCACTAATATAGTCTCTAGCTTATTTGTAAATACAAAAAAGCATGATATGTTCGTGTAATATGATGCAGTATCTACCCTGGATTGTAAAAAGTAACTTAAATTGTTTAATTTGTTTGGGTCAATTATGGGCCTACACCTTTTTAGAGCAGTGCTTGCCCGAGCCATTTTAGGCAGGGCTCTATGCAAAATTAGTTAATGCTATATATTAACTTTACTAAACTATAATTACAACTATTCCTTATACTATTATTGCGCTGCTATTACTATTAAGGTTTTCCTTTGCCTTCATTTGCAGTTTGAAGTCCTACAAAACTTGATTCCTTTTTCAATGGCACATTTACTTACCTTTAATAACGTTTTTTAATAGAAAGAAAAAAGTAGTGTATAATCCCAGATGGCTAAATGTAAATTAGCAATTTTGTGAGGTGATATTATATTAGCCTTCACCTCTTGGTGTGCTGCCCCAAGTGGCCAAAATGAGTGGCTTTAATGACCCCATGGTCTTTTTTGTATCATATTGATACTCACCAGCAATAAATCAAATTCTGATCTCTGGACAAACTTCACACTTGTATCCCCACTGGTGGAAAGGCAGGTTATGAGATAATGAGCCACTGGGCACAAATGCTTAAAAATAACAGTAAGGGTTATTCAATTAAAAGCTGCTCTGGTGTAACCCAACAGTAGACAAGTCCCAAAAGTTTGCTCATTGCAGAATTACCTCTCCTTCAGACTATGTGCTCATGGCCCATATATTTCATGTGTTTCATGTCAGGCCGCATCAATCTGGTGTGCAGGCCGGTGAAGCTTATAAAATGTCTAGAAAAATCTATGGTAGCAGTTTTCTGTTTCTTCATATCTGGCGCCCTCCTCTGTTAATAAATTGTAACTGCAATATATACACATTTAATGTACAGTACACACTCTGGTTATGGTCTATGGCTGATCAATGGAAGAAAGGAATACAAATTACTATATACTCAGAGGAGCTTTAATTTCAGCACATTTTGAACATGATTTAAAATATGAAAGGTTTGAAGAAAACAAATCATATTCTTGGAATTATCTGTCGTGTTGTCTAATTAATACACGCGAGTTCAACTATATTTAAAGTGAGTCTTTATTCGGCCAAGCACGTTGTTAACATCACATCTTAAAGGTCCCATGTCATGGCCATTTCTACTGATCATAATTCCATTGTTGAGTTCTAGAATAGATTTATACCGTGCAATTTTCCAAACTCACATTGGTTTCTCATACAGCATCTATGTGTATTCACTCTCTGTCCTAAACGGCTTGTTGGAGCTCCTGGAATGGCGTCTTTGAGTCCTGGAGTGGTGAATATTGAAAGCAATGATATGGAAAGTGCATCTGAAGGAGAAGGAGGATGGAATGAAGTAAGAACAAAGAGTTAGACGAAGATAGACATGTCAAGTGACAGTTTCAGTGAGTCTGATTCGCAGAATGAAATGAAGAGAACAAAGAAAAAGACTGAGAATGAAGAGTGGAAAATGATTGTGGAGTTTGGTGAACAATCCGCAACTAAATTACACCCAGTGGCCCTGACTAAAGCGAATCACAAATAAATTGGATCAATAAAACAAGCAAGATTTCTGAACAAAGGACGGATGTTGGTAGAAATGATAAACGCAAGACAACAGGAACATTTATTGAAAATGAAGACCCTGAATGAAGTTCCAATTAAATGCCATGTTCCCGGAGCAAATCGGAAAATGCGTGGAGTGATCAGTGGAGTTCCCATTGATATCAGTATTGAGGAACTCAAGAAAGAAATTAAAGGGGGTAAAGTGTCTGTAGTTAAGCGTCTTCACTAGGTATCAGGGTAAGCTATTGGATAGTTTGTCTGTTCTTCTTCAGTTTGAGGACAAAATTCAACAGAAGATAATGATCGGTGCGTGAGCTTTCCAGTAAGAGAATTCATCCCTAAACCTCTGTGGTGCTTTAAATGCCAAAGGATTGGGCATGTGGCAGATAGTGCAAAGCAACAAAGCCTAGGTGTCCAAAATGTGCAGGGGAACATGAATATGGTAGTTGTGCTGCAGAAGCTAAGCTGAAATGTTGTAACTGTGGTGAGGAACATAGTGATGCGTATCAGGGCTGCAAAGTGCAGAAAAAGGCAAAGGAGGTAGAGAGATACAAGGTACAAAACAAAGTCTCATATGCTGAAGCAACAGAACAGGTATCTATAAACATAGTTAGGAAATCCCAAGTAGCAGCAAGTATATTCTCTTCAAAAGATTTTCCCAAACTCCCACAGGCAAAGGAAAGCTCCACAAAGTGTTCACATAAGTGTGTGATAGAAGAGGATGCATTAATTAATTACATTAAGTACAAATGTGTGGCCTTCATTGGAAAAGTGGTACAAAAAAGAGGTCAAGACTGAAAACAATAGTGGAAGCAGCATGTGAAGGTTTGGGGGTAAAGGATATAACTGTTGAGATGCTACATGATATGCTAGCCTCCAATAATGATGATTAACAGATTAGTGAATAGCTTAATGGTTTCTATCATTCTGTAGTGGAATGCTAGAAGCCTTATAGCATATGGACAATAATTCAAGACCTATATGTTAAATAAAATACTAGAACTCAAGAAATGAAGTTCACAAACTGATCTTCAAGTTTCTCAAAACACTGGTCTGAGGACAAGGATGTAACATGAAGATTCAATAAATCAACAGTAGGTGGCGATAAATGCTCCAAGTGGTAGCGATTCGCCATTAAACGAAGAAGAAGAAGAAGAAGAAGAAGAAGAAGAAGAAGAAGAAGAAGAAGAAGAAGAAGAAGAAGAAGAAGAAGAAGAAGAAGAAGAAGAAGAAGAAGAAGAAGAAGAAGAAGAAGAAGAAGAAGAAGAAGAAGAAGAAGAAGAAGAAGAAGAAGAAGAAGAAGAGTTCTGGGGCAGCATAGACAAGTATTTTCTGTGTTAGAGTTTTACTCGCTACAGGGTGTACTTTGGGGGTTTGTGACTTTGCAGACCGTTTACATGCATAAAAACATTCATAACACACAATGGGACGGGTAATACTGAAAAAGCATGACATGGGACCTTTAAGCTAGGTTGCTTTACCTGTCGTACCTTAATGACGTCAATGAGCCGCGCCCGCCGTGCTGCAAACAAATACTATTGGTTATTTTCATAAACACATACAGCACAATAACACTAGAACAATATTTATTGTGTGTAAAATAATAGATAATGAATGGCTGGAATTGTAACTTTGAGTAGAAGCTGTCACATCTGTCGGAACTCTTAGGAGGACGGACCTCCTGCATTCGATATGTATCAGACTTTATCAATAAGGACAGACTATCAGCGTTGACTAGTTACATTTGACACATATATCTGTTTTATATAAATTATGTTTCATGTTGTAGGTTAAAATCGCCGCTTTACCATTGAACCGGAAGTGAAAGCAACCAACCAATCAACTTCACGAAAAACTAGTCATGCGCAGTAGAGCTTGTGATGGCAGTATGGCGTGTGAAGGTTAATGCCAGCTAAACATCAGTAAACGTAACTATTACTGCCATTTAACTAAAGTTTGGTTCGTTTTACTAGCGTTTACAGATTGTGTCACTTTATAACGGTGTTACCATCGCACAGGCTTCAGGTAAGAGACCATGTTATCACTGTTAATAAGACTAACTGGACACATGTGAAGTGATGTTATTCATCGTGTTGTTACAGGGGACCAGGGGGGTTTCATCAAGGTTTCTGGCTTAAATACAACCACTAAAATCATATCCATCCACATGAACTCACATTGTTTAGTCAGTGTGGTTGTTTAAAGGTTTAAACATTCATTAGACTGACAAGATGGTCTCTTTCATACTGTAGAGTACTACGTTGGGGTACTGCAGAGGGTACTTGGCTTTTGTTTAATGTAAAAACATTTTGCATTGCTCCTTGAAGATCATTTTACCACAATAAGTACAAAAAAATATGTTCAATATTCCTGATGTAATGCAATACTGCTGCAATAAACGAAATCAATTTTAAAAAACATGTTTTTTTATTTGAGCAGGGCTAGCTGGTTGAAAGAAATATCTACTGTTACATTTAAAACATATATTTTAGAAATACACAGTGTAACACCATTCACAGCTATTTTTACTCTTTCTTTAGATATGTCCTCCAACTGCTCTACCAACTTTAATAATAATATTAATGATAATAGCTAAAGGTTAAAATTATTATTGTATTGATAAAATAATAATCCTATAGGATCACAATTTTATAAATAGTATATATATATGTAAAACATTTCTAATAGCCAACATGACATGCTCTCACATTTGAGATGCTTGAACCAGAGTATTTCTGCATCAATGTTCTACCTGTCTCAGGGTTGAGGTCTTCTCTCTGCTTTGCTCAGCAGTCATGGCCAGTCTGTCCAGCTATGCCATGCGCATGGCCAGACTGAGCGCACAGATCTTCGGGGAGGTGGCGCGTCCAACTGACTCCAGATCGCTGAAGGTGGTGCAGCTGTTCCAGGAGCCTCCCATGGCCCAGAGGAAGGAGGTGTATGACTGGTACCCACAGCACAAGATCTACTACTCCATGACCCAGAAGCTCCGGTTCATGGGACTGTTCAGGTACGCTTTGGAAACACAACATCTTCTAGTAAAGAAACCACACTTTTAAACTCTTAAACTCTTATATTTTCTTACTTATCAATGATTTACTATATTACTACTATACTTGTTTTTGGATATATTTTTATATATCTTGTAAACATTACTTTTTAATTTAAATGTTATAATCTTTTTATAATAGTTGTATATTTGCGCCTCTTTTACAACATAACGCCTATTTTAATTAGGTTTTAGGAGTATTTTTAGACATGTTAGACTGTCCCAGTTTGCAAGACTGGGTTACAGATGCATGCCCAAAGGAAAAGCCCTTAAAGGTGGGGTAGGTAATTTTGGAGAAACCAGCTCGAGTGCGCTAGAATTTGAAAATACACAGCCGGAACACATCTGCCACTTCCTTACAGAGCCCCTCCTCCAACACACACGAACGCGCACATGACCAATGAGGGCACGAGATAAGTTTGTGCACAGATGGAAGGCTGACAGACAGGTAGGCCATCCAGTTATTTTAGCCGGGCCGGCTAAAATGATTGGTCGTGCTTTTTACAGTACTACGGCTTCCACAGATTACATTTTTGTATGGGTTTTTTGTCAAAACACTTAAGATATTCATTGCTATCGGGATGTTAAGAGCATTCCATGGAATATAACAAAAAGTGTATCTCGAGCCAGTTTCTCAAACTTACCTACCCCACCTTTAATTGTCATTGAAAGAAGTAACACCGCCACTTTTTAACAGTATGAACACTCAATTGGTAGACCTGGCAGCCCATGAACTGGGGCTTCTCCCTTTTTCAACTCGGTCTCCACAATAAAAAGCACTGGTCCAAAGAAATCTTAAAGGTCCCATGTCATGCTTTTGCTAGTGGAGCCTCGCAGATGGGGCTGCTGCACCCCCCTCAGCACCTTTAAAAAAAAAACGTGGATTTCAACAGGTTTTCCGATTTGGGCAAATGATACAATTGCGTCCTTTTCAATTTGGATAAAATAATAAACAGCAGAGGCTGTGTTTGCATGGTCAAAATTCCACATTGACCGCTGCATATAAACATGAATATTGGTGATTATTCATTTTTATTAGCCTTACTTTCAAAACCAATATTTAACCATGTAAAGTAGCCAATGAAAAAACAATGCTTACTTTTAAAATGTAAGGCCTATGTGGAAATGTTATGCCCTTAGAGCTGCTGGAAGGATTTGAATGTGAAACTCAATGCAGGAAGTGATCAGAACAAATTAGAGCATTTTACCAGACCCTATACTAATCATAATAAAAGCTTAACTAAAATGTGTGCTCTTCCTTCTCAGAGACGAGCATGAAGACTTCAAGGAGGAGATGCGTCGCCTGAGGAAACTGAGAGGAAAAGGGAAGCCAAAGAAAGGAGAGGGGAAGAGAGCCAGCAAGAGGAAATGAGAAGTATATCTTGGTTTGGGCAGACAGCTTTGGACGCTGTGCATGCTGTCTTTGGACATTACTGTTGCGGGATGTCGATGCCGAAATAATTCCATTGTTTTGGTCGGAAATGCAGTTCCTTTGTCACAAACTTTTCTATGTTGGGAATACCTTAGCTCGGCATGACATCATCCTGTGTCAGTTGTACTGAAGTGAACTCAATGCTTTTATTGTTGAACATTGTTTCAAATATTTCCTTTAAAGATACTTCAACATGTTTATGGTAAGGATCATGTGACCACACATGTGACGAGAAGAAGATTATGTCCATGTTTTATAGAACTGTTATTGGAACGGCTGGAAAAAGATGTAAATAAACAGGCATCTTGTGTGTTTTCAAAATAAAAATCAATGTAAGACAGCGAAGCTCTTTCTGCCTGCTTTTCAAAAACTTGGCTGTAACAAAAACAAACATATTGGTATGAACTTATACATTTCATATCGTATTACCTGTTCCTGTCAATATGGGGTTGTATGTAATGCTTTGCCAAACATCATGTGTTCTTTCTAGCCATTAAATAATGACTGGTAAAACATTTTGGCAACGGATGTATGAACGATGTCTCGCATAGCAGCTATGGAACCTATTTGGCAATATTCTAACCTACAGGGCATAACATAAATGGATTTAGAAAAACGTTCAGTGGTTGGATTTCACGGTTACAAACTTCAAGCCTTGGATGACCAACTGCAGCGCAGCACTAAATGGTTTCTTGGTTTTGAGTACATTTATTATTCTTACAAGAAAACTAATAATATTTTCTTAATTATAAGCCCTGAATTGTGTACAAATTAATTAACTGGTTTTACATTTGCTGAGGTCTCAAACAAGACAAACATTCTAACATGAGGCATTTGCTCCAGTTACTTTTGTCCTGTTTGGCTCGTGTGGGCGTTTTTTTTTTTTTTGCTGCAAAAATGCTTTTAAAACGTTAAACCTTTGCTGCATAATCAAGTAATATCCATGTTTTTTTCATGACAAGCTAAGATATCAGCATATGTAGGCTGCAGCGATGTCACATGCATGTACAGATAGTTATGAGACGTAAATACAAAAGAAAAAACAAGACGAAAATGTTATCACTCAGAAATGTATTCAAAACGTTACAAGTAGTTTACAACTTTTGATATCAGAAAATAGTTGTTTTAAGTCTTGGTGACCGTGGCCTCTCTCATTCTGTGGGTCGAGCTCCTCTGAAGAGGAATCAGAGGAGCTGTCCAGCTGCAGAGGTGATGGGCGGTTCAGAAGCCTGTTGCTTTTTAGAACTGTAAAACAAAGAAAATCATTAGAAATATTGAACGTTTGAAATTTCAGATTATAAATCAGTGTAGAAAGTATTTTTGTGTTTCACATCTAATACAAGATATAAGGTCAATAGCTGAGATTGCTTCACATCCCCCCCACACTATAATATGTTCAGCATTCAGTCAAGGAGAACAGGCATGTGCAAGCCTCCTAAAATAATAATAATAATAATTTCCCCACATATATAATGGTTCCTTGTACAATATTGTGTAGCCTGGCTCTATAAATCCTGTGTCTACAGGTGTTGCTGACAAATAGGGAAACTAGTGTGTACAGAAAAAGGGTGAGGGGCAATGCAGTTTGATTTTTGTAAGAAAAAAGTGTCCCCACCACTTTTCAAACCAAAGTGCTGCCCATTGGAAACAGTAATAAGTCAAAAATCATGGTCTTATATGAAGCCTATTAAGTACATATTCATTATTTAAAGGAAAACTGCAAATGTATATTCTTCAGAAGGATTATATCAAACAAGTAGCCCTCCATAGAGTTCGTTATCTTTCAGGTCTCAGTCTCGAAAAGGTTGGTGACCCCTGCTCTAGTGACTAAACATTTTTTCCACTGAAAATAAGTGTAAATGTCAATTTTAAATGCATTTGTATTAAGGGTGTGTTACACGAGTGATTGTAATTTAAGAGCAGTTGGGTTGAATACGATAACAAAGGGTTTAATACAAGAAAACACTGATGGCTGTGTGGAATATTATTCCCTTATGTCTTTTTATTCTTATTTTCCTTCTTCTTCTTTTGTATTTAACGGCAGCTTACATCCTTGATGTTGCTTTACTGCTATCTTGTGGTGTTATTTACTTCCTACAATTTGTATTGTTCATATTCTTATAAGTCCTGTTATTCTCAGGTAGTTAAGCAGACATTCTCTGCTTGGCCCCCTTTTCCCACAGTCTGTAAGTCTTTGATGTTTCCATCGCCATCCTTCCAAATGATACCTGTACGTCCACCCTGTCTCGGCCTAAACTAGCCTTAGCTGCCCTTTCTGCCTCCTCATTAACCCAAATCCCAACATGTGCTGGCACCCATAAAAAACCCACACTGCATCCCTTCCTCTCCAATTTACAAACCATCATTAAAACCTCCCCTACTTTACCAGGTCTAGCCCTGCCCCCCTCCCAGCCTCTAAATGCCATCAAAGCAGAAAAAAGAGCATATAACTACCTGTTCCAACCCCTTTCCTCCACCCACTATAGTGCCCACAATAATACCTCATCAGGTAATTTTCTGCTCTGGCACATTTTCAAATGAGGTACATAATGCCAAATCCCACTCTTTTACTTTCTGGATCTTTTGAGATGCTTAAATAATTGTTCCATCCTTTGGTGATTTTCTATATACATGTCCTATTTCACTTTTTTAAAAACACTTTTTGATTGAAAGATCTACGTTGATATCTGTCCACAGCCATCGAGGGACAGGTGGCCAGTATACAGAGGGTCCTATCTTTATATCATTAAATCCAAGCTCCTCTTTCTTACGCATGTCCACTGGGATCAGCACCTTTAGGCCGCTCCAACAGCAGCCTCTAAATCGATTCAATGCTATAGTATACCGGATGCATCATTTGATCTCTAATCTTTATCTAACTCCTTATTTGTTTTAATCTACTTCCATCATGGATCGAGGTTCATATAAAAAAACATCCATTGTTTGTTTATATGCTTCTTGAAATCTCTAAAAAACATTTTCTTTCTAATGTATCTCTTGTATTACATTGTGGCCATTTTGAAAGTGTTTGTTGAAACCTTAATTAATAGCCTATGTATCAGTGACCTAAAATTATCTAGGGCATGGTAATAAACAGTGGTGGAAAGTAGTAAAGATATACTGAGTACTTCTTCCACCACTGGTAATGAATAGTGTAGGAATACTTTGTTACAAGTATAAGTCCTGCATTCAAAATGTTACTCAAGTGAAAGCACAATTGGTCAATTTCAGAATCATATTGATATGTTTTGATTATAATTAGTGATGCATTAAAGTGTTATCAAAGCTGGTAAAGGTGAAGCTAGTTTTAATGACGTTGTACTGCAGGGTAGCTTGTGAATTTACTCCAGGTGTATCTTAAGTCTTATTTAAATGTTGATTATATTTCACAATATATTAATCCAAATATGTAAAGTAACTAAAGGTACAAAATAAATCTAGTGGAGTAAGTGAGTAGCATCAAATGGAAGTACAAATATCTCAGAATTGTTACTTCCCACCTCTGACCATTGGTAAGAAATTATCAAATATTGTTTTGCCAAGTCAACTGTAGTAGTGTTGGGCTACCCATGCAGTCCAGAGGCTCGAAGCCCCGTCCTGTGCTCTGTCTCCCCCTCCTGTCTCTCTGTCTCCCCCTCCTGTCCTCAGCACCAGCCTGCGTTTCCCTCTATTATTTTCCACTCAGTTCCTCGCAGTTTAAAATGGCGGCGTTGAGCAGCGCCGAGTCCCCACCGCCCGTCTTTAACGGAGACTCTGCGGAGCCGGGCAGGGAGCCGGGCCTGGAGGAGCTGGGTGCCGGCCTGGCCTCCTCCTGTACGGAGGGGATCCCCGGAGGTCCGCAGGATGAGGAGGTAAGCGCTCCAGCGGCGGGGTAGCGGCTCTGAGCTGGGGAATGGGGCACGGGCTCCGAGCGGAGGTAATTGGATGTAAATCTTCAGGAAACACCGGCTGTAACATGGCTCGTGGGGGATGCAGTGCAGGGGGGAAAACGATGTGCGACATATGAACCACTAATTTGAGCACTATGTTTTCACAGCTTCCGAGAAAATGCGACATATTAATGTGAACAGGAGGTTTCATTCGGCGGAGCCTGTGTTTATTTCGGGCCTGCTTTATTCCACTCGCTCCTGGCTCCGTCTTCCAGGCTCACTGCAGCTGTAGCCTGGTGCGCCAACACAGCACACACACACACACACCGCTATTGACGCAATAAAGACACGCAATTACACTGCTACTAATGCCTTTTTATTGGATTCTAATGCGGCCAAAGTTTGCATCACAAATCCTCTGAGGTCCTTTACCTCAATGTGGTGGTGGTGATGATGGTGATAATGATGAGGATGATGGAGGGGGAGGAGGAGGAGGAGGCTACCTCAAGTCGTGCTTGTGTTTTTTTTTTCTAGGTGTAATTTAGCTACACATGCTACTTTTATTTATATTACAGGCTTTACAATCACCGCCCCCAGGTATACATACACACACGCACACGCACACGCACAGGCGGAACCACCAGTCAGGCTGTGACCTCATCATTTGATACACAGTGACCATGTAGCCTAGCCTGATATCTGTCTCCAGTCAGCAGGTCAGAGGCCTCACTGATGGACCATGACCATCACATTAGCAGAATACTAACAGTCACATTTAGCATCATTTGCAAAAGTTTGTATATAATGATATCTTAAATAACGTAATGTCAGATGTCCTAAAATAAATAAAAACAGAAGGAAATGCAGTATCAAAACACAGTCAATCTGGATCATTCATGATGACTCTAAAGCAGGGGGGTCAAACTCAAATACACAGTGGGCCAAAAAAAAAAAAATGGGTACTAGTCGAGGGCCGGACTGGTTCAATGTTTATTGCAGAACTTATTGAAATGAATTTATTGCACATATTAAACCTGGAACTAACAAAGCTTAAATCATTGCCAATAAAAACAACATTAAACATTAAATAATCAGTTGCATTAATTTCTTATGGCTCTATCTGCAGCTTTTCCCGAGTCATTTCTTATGATTACATTTTTCCACAGGCCAACAACAGCTTCAAAAAACAATTTCCCTCAAAGAAAAAACCAAACATGCCCTGTTGTCGCAAGAAAAAAAGTGCAGAAGGAAACATCCATGTAAACTTTTGCTGCTCTATGATGCTAGTTCAAGCCGGATACTTGGCATCTCATCTCGGGTGCTAGTTCATCAATGTTTGGGGTCAGGCTCTGAGCTGAGGAAACCCTCAGGATTGAGTGAAGGTGTGCGTGCAATATACCGGCGGGCCAGATCTAATAGTAATTAGAAATTATCCTGCGGGCCGAAATTAAATCCACCAAGGGCCTGATTTGGCCCCCGGGCCTTGAGTTTGACACATGTGCTCTAAACTTTCTAAAGGGTCAGAAAGTCCCAAAAAATATGGCTTTCGAAAAATGGGTCTTATATTTACTTGTAATATATGGCTTTACGTTGTTGTTCTTGCTCATATGGAAAGCATCAAAAACAAAAACCAGTTCATAGTTCTCTGATTACTTTGAATTGCATGCCTCTGACTTTTGATTCCCATACTTAGTAAAGTCTAGATAGCCAATGAGATAAAACTGTCATGCTAACGGCTAACAGCTAACAGCTAGCTGCGGAGCTACCTCAGCTTCCTCTCTTGTTTCATTTAGCAGGTCCTATTGAATATGCTCTGGACCTGCTTTATGTAAAATGTGTCAAGAGATATGTTCTGTGTGCTAAATATAAAAAACAATACATTGGGTAGATGGATCGGTCCATAAAGGATCTCACAGGTCATCAACGTCTACTTCCTGTTCACCTGTTGGACTCAAGTTGTGAAAGCTCTTATTGGTCCAGGTACAACGTCTAGTTTGCCATTGATTTCGGCCACGTCATTGCAATAATTGACTACTGTCCAATGTGACGCAGTGACCATTTCAAATGATGTACAGAAGTGTCTGCTTTGGCATAAGGTCACACATCATTTGAACAGTTACTGAAGGATATGAATTTTCTAAACATTGTTTGGTCTCTTTCCTCACAGATCTGGAATATCAAACAGATGATAAAGTTGACACAAGAACACTTAGAGGCCCTTCTGGACAAGTTTGGGGGTGAACACAATCCTCCTTCCATATATCTCGAGGTAAGACGAGTTAATGAATGCAGTACATCTTGTAAGTGTCGCTTCAGGTATGGAGGTCGTTCAATCTGTGGTGTGTGGTCTCTGTCAGGCCTATGAGGAGTACACCAGTAAACTGGACGCCCTACAGCAGAGGGAGCAGCAGCTGCTGGAGGCCATGGGCAACGGCACAGACTTATCCTGCTCTCCTGAACCCATGCCATCCTTTCTGGAGGTCACCATGGGAGGTTGTGGGGTCACAGGGGGGGCTCAGGCCTATCCCTCGGCCCCCAACACCTTGGCTGTCCTGCAGACCCCCTTCGACGCCAGCAGAGCAAACCCCCGCTCCCCCCAGAAGCCCATCGTCAGGGTCTTCCTGCCCAACAAACAGAGAACAGTGGTACGTCGGATTTCGTATGTGGATTTGAAAAATTAGTATTGTGCAAGATTATTTGAAGCCAAAACAACATTTATTTTTAATTTGAATATAAGTTAGTGTTGGTTTAAATGGTCTTAATCTATCTTGAACAAAGACCTCTGAAAACAGAAAATGATATAGCTTATCCTTTTGTTCTTTTTTATATTATTGATTTTCTTTTTGGTGATGTAAAGACACAAATGGATGCTAATCCCCGTTTACCAAATGTGTCCTCTCTAACCATTTTTAAAGAAATGCATGGCTAGCTTTGGCCGTGTGTGTCTATCTGTGTCAAAAGCCTCCTATACTGATGTGCTGTTGAGTTTAATACACACATATGAATAAGAAAGTCATTTTGTACTGAGCACAGCCCAGGTGTTTTTAGGGGAATCATTTTATTATTGATGTTGTTCAGGCTAGAGAAATCAAAGTTAACATCTGTAAAGTATAGGTTCACTGGGTTAAGGAGTATATATGCTGGAGTTTTGGAGCTGAGTAGCCCTGCATATTCCAACATTAGTTTTATTGTCTAAGCTTTTGTCTCTTTGCAGGTTTGTGATTAAGGCTAAATAAGTGAGTTTAGCAGGCTGCTACCAGTATAAATGGAAGAAGAAACATTTCCACGCCACCTTTGCAGTCAAAGTTTTAGACTTGGTGTGTTTGGCTCCTCCTTTGAGTTCTGTTGTGTTGTGTTCAGGTACCGGCCCGCTGTGGGATGACTGTGAGAGACTCGCTGAAGAAAGCTCTGATGATGCGAGGCCTCATCCCAGAGTGCTGTGCGGTCTACAGGATGCAGGACGGGTAAGTGTGCAGCTAACTCATCATCTATTTAAAACTGTCACCCTGGAATGGTTGCCGTTTTCGATGACTACTCTATAAATTGGTCTTTCTAAATACAACATAATTTTCTATTATATAAACGTTCTTGAATAGATTTGGATCATGTCCGTTATACTTCCCTTTTTTTTGGCCAGTGTCAGAAATATACCCAACACATATAGACAAAGCAGCAGCTGGCTTCAAAAGGCTTTTTTTGGAGATTGATAAAAAAGCAAACATGTACCATACCTTAACTTGCAGACAAACATATTTCCCCAGCAATTATTATATTTAGACTCTGATATCAATGGAATTAAAGGAAATGTGTCTTGTGTTATAACTAGAAAGACACCAGAGCTGCTGAGGTCAACCTGTTTTCTGCTAGAAACCGTCATGGTTATGTTTGCGTACATTTACGCTGCAGTGTGAGGTGCAGACCTTCACCCTCATATCTCCACTTCCTGTTTCAGAGAGAACAAGCCCATTGGCTGGGACACAGACATCTCCTGGCTGACAGGAGAGGAGTTACATGTAGAAGTGTTGGAGAATGTGCCGCTCACCACACACAACTTTGTAAGTACTGTTGGAAAAAATGTCAGATCATGACTCCAATATTATCTACTGAATAATCTAATCCGTATTACTCTGTGCTTGTTCTGATTCTGTGTTTGATTGACAGGTCAGGAAGACCTTCTTCACGCTGGCCTTCTGTGACTTCTGTAGAAAGCTGCTGTTCCAGGGTTTCCGCTGTCAGACCTGTGGCTATAAGTTCCACCAGCGGTGCAGCACTGAGGTCCCCCTCATGTGTGTCAACTACGACCAACTAGAGTAAGTCCCACACACATGAGGCAGCAACCAGATTGAGATCAAACTTGATGTACAATGTAGTGCTTCAGGCCACTGTCGGCCCAAACATTTTGATTGTCTATATATATTAGCTCAGGTTAAACAGGAAACAGACAGCATTTATAATGTGGTTTTCCAGCATTGCGATCCCTCAAAGTGTTTTACATATACAACTCAGCATTCACACACATTCATAGAGAGACGGGGACTGCCATACATGATGCCACCCGCTCAATGAAACTAACTAATTTAACTAATTGATATCTCGACAAGGCAGACCATTGAATTTTCAAAATAAACCGCAAAAATGGCACAACATTTCACATTTATTCAGCGTCGCCAAACCATACTATGATCTTGTTATTAAGTGACAGGTCTGTCAGTATTAAGGAATTTGTTAAAAATGCCACGTTTTTTCACTTCATTACATTACATTACATGTCATTTGTTAGACGCTTTTATCCGAAGCGACTTACATTCAGTACTGTGGACAATCCCCACAGGAGCAATTTGGGGTGAAGTGTCTTGCCCAGGGACACAACGACACTTCCTAAAAATATCTTCACTGAAAGACGCTGGCTTGTGATGAGTGTTTATCCAAAAACGTACAAAATAAAAGACTCTCCCCTGATGTGTGTTCCGCAGCTTGTTGCTAGTGTCCAAGTTCTTCGAGCATCACCCGTTCACCCAGGAGGACGTCTGCTCCGAGGGCACCACCCCCGTGTCTGAGGCCTGTCCGTCACTTCCCCCATCTGACTCCACCGGGTGAGTCCTCCACCTCCACATCAGTCATTCTCCTTCACATGTGCTACTGCAGCATTTCAACGACATTGTTTTTTTCCAGGTCGATATGCCACTCCCCGTCCAAGTCCATACCCATCCCTCCCAGTTTCCGGCCCAGTGAGGAGGACCACCGCAACCAGTTTGGCCAGCGGGACCGCTCGTCCTCGGCCCCCAACGTCCATATCAACACCATCGAGCCTGTCAACATCGACGTGAGTCTGCTCCCAATTCAACTCTTCTCAACCATTTACTATGAATTGAGCTAGCCAACTCAAAGCTGCACTTATACTATCTAGCCCCCATCTTTCCATTATATTTTAGCAGCTGTTATTTCTGATACTTTTGGCAAGTGACTGCGTTTGCACATATTCATCACAACAACAACAACAACAACCAGATAATCCTCAAAAAATCCCTTAGACTTGTGTCACCGGTTCTTTAAAGGTGATGCCAGTGAAAACAGAATATTTTCTTCTCCAAAGCAGCGTCTTTCCAAAAACAGTCAATAAATAAAAATGTGGTTTATTGTGCAAAATGGGAAATGTAGCTTTTAGAAATTGATAGCCCTACTTTGTGTTGTGTCACACTCGTTTTAACACGAGCTAGATGGAAGTTCTTAAAGTAGAAGAATAAAAAAAACTTGTGTAATACATTTTGGCCCATTCAAATTGGGAATGTCCATGTGAAGTCGGTTTTAGATCAATTCACATTCAGTTTGAACACACACCAAGTACTTGCATTCATTCTGAAAACACACCTCAAGCTGCTACATTTCCTGTGATAATGGTTAAAGGGACAACAATGCAGTACAGTAAATGTTGTTATTAATTTCCCTTCTTTTTTTCAGGACCTGATTCGAGATCAGTGCTTGCCAAGGTCGGATGGAGGTAAGGATCATAGTCGGAGACTTCTGTGCATTTTTCCCACCATCCCGCGTCTGCGTGCTCTTGGTCTTTTGTGTGTGTGTGTGTTTGCGCGTGTGTGAAGTTCAGACCCAATAATTTGTGTCTGTTCTGTTTTAGTTATCGGTCAGTGAGAGCGGTAGCTGGAGGGCACACATGTTTACTCAGATCTGTGGGTCAGGGTTTCAGCAGACCCCCTTATTATTTTTGTAGTCTTACTTTGAGCTCCTGATACAAGGGAGGAATTTACATAGCTGATCAATTGTTAAAATAAATGAAAGGTTCAGGGAAATAAATTGTTTATCTATAAATCAATAGCAGGTTGTATTCTTTGGGATGTAAAAATAATTGATATTTGTCGTTCAGAAACGTTACTTAAAAGTCCTTGAAAATAGTCTCTGCCTAGGTTGTATAATCCCCGAAATGTGGTATTCAATAATACAAAAGGTCCTAGAAATGTTTCAATCTAAATATGAATCCACATTGAAATATCTATAATGCCATACAACTGTGGCACACAGATTTCATTTAACAATTTGTTTAAGTAAATGAAGTAGTCCAACTATCTAAGGTACTAACTAAGGTTATTATACATATCGTCACTTAGTACCAGAAGTATTTGAAGATGTCCTTCTAACAGATAACTTGCAATTAGTTAATTAATGCACGTTGCTGATTGTGTAAACAATGATTAGACAAGCAGCATTTGACATCACCAGCCAACGCATTAGTTGTCTGCTAGATCAATCAGCATCTGAAATATTGTATCGCTTTTCATTGCAAAGCTAACTACATCTAACAACCATTTTAAACATGTTAGTTGGTGGGTGAAGCTACAAATGAGTTTTGAATTTTCAGTTTGTGTACGGATTAAACCAAAAAGATAAAAGGTCGAATTGAGTGATCTTAGAAGTCTGTTTCCTGAATTTAGACAGAGCCAGGCTAGCTGTTTCCCCTGCCTCCAGTCTTTATGCTAAGCTAGGCTAACCACATGTTCTCAACAACAACAACAACAACAACGCAGACATAAGATCCTTCTCATCTCACTTCAGGAAAGAAAACAAAAAGGACTATTTCCTGTTTCCAAAATGTTGACAATTAAGTGTTTTATCTTTAAGTAAAATGTAGCAGTAGCCAGTCTTTATGCTAAGCTAGGCTATTCCCATTAAATATATATAAAAACAAATATTATAAAAATAATAGTCTAAGTAAAAGTATAGTGTGGTGTGAGGACGATCCATCCCTTAGATCAGGGGTGTCAAACTCAAATACACGGTGGGCCAAAATGTAAAAATGGGTACTAGTCGAGTGCCGGACTGGTTCAATGTTTATTGCAAAACTTATTGAAATGAATTTATTGCACATATTAAACCTGGAACTAACAAAGCTTAAATTATTGCCTATAAAAACAACATTAAACATTAAATAATCAGTTGCATTCATTTCTTATGGCTCTATCTGCAGCTTTTCCAGAGTCATTTCTTATGATTACATTTTCCCACAGGCCAACAACAGCTTCAACAAAACTATTTCCCTCAAAGAAAAAACCAAACATGCCCTGTTGTCGTGAGAGAAAAAGTGCAGAAGGAAACATCCATTGAAACTCAGTGTGCTGCTCTGTGAAGCTAGCTCAAGCCAGATACTTGGCATCTCATCTTGGGTGCAAGTTCATCAATGTTTGGGGTCAGGCTCTGAGCGGAGGAAACCCTCAGCACTGAGTGAAGGTGTGCGTGCAATATACCGGCGGGCCAGATCTAATAGTAATTAGAAATTATCCTGGGTGCAGAAATTAAATCCACCAAGGGCCTGATTTGGCCCCCGGGCCTTGAGTTTGACACATGTGCCTTAGATGTAACCATGGTTAGTTGTTAGTGAGAGGTGAGAGGGGCAGGGTGAGTAGCAGTGATGGTCTGTCTGTTTCTCTTTGCCCTGCAGCCCCCCCGACCTACCCCGCCCGCTGCTTGAGGAAGCACCGAACACGGACCTCAAGCCCCCTCCTATACTCCTACCCCAATGACATAGTGTTTGATTTTGAGCCCGAGCCTGTTTTCCGAGGTAGTTAGGCCTCTGTGTGTTACTGTGTCCTCCACCCTCCTCCGCCCCCCATACCCCTACCTTCCAACTCCCTACACACCAACCCCATCCACTGTTTGTGCCCCGCCTCTATCTCTCTTTTCCCCCTTTATGTCCTCTCTCTACACACCTGACAGGTTACACAGATATCTCACAGCCACTCTGATCACACACTCTTTAGTGGATGGTGGCTTCACTGGTGAAATGCTCCGTTGATCAAGTCATGTTAATCGAATAATCAATCACTAATTATTTAGCTCTGTTTAATGACAGCACACTAGTACAAATTCATGCTTCATTCAAAAGACTGCAGACAAGTCACACACTTCAGATGGTGTCTAACTTTCATGGGCGTGAATTTTTTAAACAATTTCATATTGCACAAAATAATTTAAATTACATGGCTTAAACATTATTTAAGGCAACAAGCCTTAAGTAACTCTTGACTAGCTCAAAGATAGCTTTACCATGAGCTATCATATCATTCTTATTACTTTACATTACATGCATGTACCTATACTTTAATTCACAGCTGTTCATACCTGTACATTTTCTATGTAGGCTGTTGTACTTAAATAAACTTACTGTTGTTTTTAGTAGATACTAAAATCAAGTTGGGATCAAGTTAAATGGTTAAATGAATTCTCCTTTTTGGTTGTTCTCGAACTCAACAAATCAGTGTCAGTCAACTACAGCTTAGTATATTTTCGTCCAACGATTGACAAGTAGCCAGCTAAATTAATGAATAGAGGTAAAAACGTCCTTTCTCTAAATGATTAAATGTTGCATTAATACTGAGATTAGAACTGAGCATATCATTTGAAATAATCATTTGAAATAAATGATAATCATTCAGTGTTTCCCCTACCATTGTCTTGGAGGGGCGCTGCGCCTCCAAGACAAAAGCTATCATTTTCTTTTTTAAATATATATATTTTTTATATATATATAAATATATATATGCAACAAATAGCAACTAATCTATATATTATCTACTGTCACTTTTCACATTGAACATGTGCTCTTTTATTAAATAAACTAAACACTTTCATTTTAAGTTGTGAGTTTATTGTTTTTGACCCTAAGAAACACTGATGCATTCATCAATAACAATAATCCACAACTCCTCTCTCTGCTCCAGAGGATTTAAAAAATATATATCCCAATCAAAATCATAAAATCCTGTGCTTTGCAAAACCATTAACTGCCATTCAACCAAGCACCCCCCAACGTCTCCTCTGCATGTGTCCACACACACACACACACACACACACACACACACACACACACACACACACACACACACACACACACACACACACACACACACACACACACACACACACACACACACACACACAGATACAGAGGCCTCAATCCCCACTTGCCCAAATCTCCTCTCTGTTCCTTTATCCTCCCTTTTAACCGACCCACCTTACCTCTGTTCTTTTATTTTTCCCTTCTCCTTCTCCCCGATCCCCCTCCAGGCTCCACCGCAGGGCTGTCGGCCACGCCCCCCCGCCTCTTTACCCGGCTCTCTGACCAATGTCAAGATTGCACAGAAGTCGCCGTGCCAACAGAGGGAGCGCAAGTCGTCGTCGTCGTCCGAGGACCGCAATAAAATGGTGAGGAGCTGTGGAGGATAGTGAGGGTTTAATACAGTTGGTTGTGTGTGTGCTTGTGCTGACTGAGTGCCATGTGGAACAGAAAACTCTGGGGAGGAGGGACTCTAGCGACGACTGGGAGATCCCCGAAGGTCAGATCACTCTGGGGCAGAGGATAGGCTCCGGCTCCTTTGGAACCGTCTACAAGGGAAAGTGGCATGGTAAGACCAAAGCTATACTCTCTTAAATCAGTAGCATTGAATCACACACGTCTTCTAGTCATCAACTCACTCTGTTGTAATAAAAAGAAAAAAACTGCATTACCATTCAAAACAAATGTAGTTTATTATTAGTCAATCAAACATACACCGTCAAGTACTCACTAGAAGTTATCTGTTGTTTCTTCCTTTTATTTTTATTATTTACGTTCGCAGAAAACATACTAATTGAGCTTTGGAAAATATAAACTATACTATATGTGAGTTATGTCTTCAGGGTTAGTAAATAATGAGAAATGCATTCTTGGTTTGAGTCTAAATGGATTTTGGTTGATAAATGTTGATTTAAATCCTTTAGAATTGATAAAGATAGCATGTTTAATGCAACACTTTGTCACTACCTTTTATTGGTCTGAATATAAGACCAGCGTGTAAAAAAAATGATGATTCCCATGAAGCCTTTTAAAACTAGGTTTTTTATTAATTAGAGGTTTAAATATGTGTAGAAATTTTTTTTAAAGTGGTTTTACATTTGTAGTAGGTCCAGGCAGTCAGTAACAACTTCTAACATTGTAGTGTTTGTTAAACATATTTTTAAACAACTTATTGTTTAGACTGACGTTTTCCCTGTCTCCTCTCAGGTGACGTGGCAGTGAAGATGTTGAACGTCACCGCACCCACACCACAACAGCTTCAGGCCTTCAAGAATGAAGTGGGAGTCCTCAGGTAACTTCTGCCCCCGACCCTCAGTATATCTGTTTACTTTGCTCCTTTAGGGGACACATAACGTTTATTTGACCTTCTCAAAGACAAGAGGCACATGGTCCGAGGCAGGTTGCGCCACACATTGCTAAGCGACCCTTAAAGTCTAAGCGCACCATCTTCTTCCAGGCGTAGTTTTTTTAAAAGTTGTATTAAAATGTTGACAGCAGTGTTTGTGGCTCTGCTTTGTTCTGCTCTGTGTGGTTGACACGAGATCACAGGACATTAAAGGTAGGGTAGGTAATTCACTTCAGAAACACTTTTTGTTATATTCCATGGAATGCTTAACATCCCGATAGCAATGAATAAATGAAATGCTTTGACAATAAATATATACAAATATTTAATCTGTGGAAACCGTGGCGCTGTAAAAAGCAAGTCCAGTTATCTGCCTCGGCCCGCGGCAGATAACTGGATGGCCTACCAATGTCAGCCTTCCATCTCGTGCACAAACTTATCTCGCGCCCTCATTGGTCGTGTGCGTGTTCGTGTGTGTTGGAGGAGGGGCTCTGTAAGGAAGTCTGAAGGAATGGGCAGATTTTTGTTCCGGTTGTGTACTTTCAAATTCTAGCGCACTCGAGCTGTTTCTCCATTTTTACCTACCCTACCTTTAAGGATAACAGCAGAGGTGCTTATAAAATGAATATAGATGAAAGTATCTGGCTAACAATACACCCACACAAAAAACTTGCAGAGGACTGATCTTTACGGTAGTTATGATATATGTCGGCTTTGATTGGTTGTTCCTCATCACATGGGGACCCCAAAAGTGGAACTACTTTAGAGTGTGCTTGAATCGCGCCATATGTGCTGCCCCTTATATTGCTCTTTAATTTAATATTACATTACGGATTTTATCACCCTAAAGGACAAAGATATTTGAAAGTGCAGCGGTTCTGTATTTTCACCCACTTTGTGCGTTTTCTCCAGGAAAACGCGTCATGTGAACATCCTGCTGTTCATGGGCTACACCACCAAGCCTCAGCTGGCCATCGTGGCCCAGTGGTGTGAAGGCTCCAGTCTGTACCACCACCTGCACATCATCGAGACCAAGTTCGAGATGATCAAGCTGATCGACATCGCCCGGCAGACCGCTCAGGGCATGGAGTGAGTTCCCCTCGAAGAAAATACCAAAGCATTCAGATTGAACCATGTGTGTAGTCGCTCTAATAACCCTTTTTCACCTTTTCCTCTTTCACCTTTTCCTCCTCAGTTACCTGCACGCCAAATCAATCATCCACAGAGATCTGAAGAGCAACAGTATCCTTTCCCTCATTCGTCTTCAGGCAGAGGTTTGTCAGTCCAAAAAAAAAAATGGAGGTTTTAAGTTGGGTGTTGGACAAGGAGTGATACAAACATTTTACGCCAGGTGATCTAAAACCCCAGTCCTCCAAAGAATTTCAGTCGGGGAAGAGCATTGGGGCTTCCAGAAAAATCTAAAAGTCTAACTTAAACGCAGCTCAGTGGTGGCCAATCGTATCGAGCGATAAGACCAGGAGATGCACACCGTATGGGAACAGTTCATAGAAATATCATTGTAGCATTCCACTGTAAGGTTTTGGACATCTGGTTTGGATTCTGGATTGCATTTCTACTCATGCTACAAGAGCAAATGTTTGTAGAGTAAAATACCAAAAAATAAGGGAGTGTAACGGTATATTTCTCATATAGTCTCTCTGCACTCTGCTGCCGAACAACTTGTGCTAATCACCACATTGAATTTTTGAGGACTTTGGCATTTCGAGGAAGTCTTACACTTTCAAGAGCTTAAAGTAGAAGAAGGGTGTGTGTCCTTAACCTCCTCTCCTCCCAGATATTTTCCTCCACGAGGATCTGACGGTGAAGATTGGGGACTTTGGTCTGGCTACAGTCAAGTCCCGTTGGAGTGGCTCCCACCAGTTTGAACAGCTGTCCGGCTCCATTCTGTGGATGGTCAGTGTCCGAACTCTACCATCGGCCCTTGACTAAGTTTTAACTGTTGGATCTTTTGTTATAAAAACCAACCTGTGCTCTCTCTCTCAGGCTCCAGAGGTGATCCGGCTGCAGGACAAGAATCCCTACAGCTTCCAGTCAGACGTTTACGCTTTCGGCGTTGTGCTGTACGAGCTTATGTCCGGAGCACTGCCCTATTCCAACATCAACAACAGAGACCAGGTCCGAGGACATTTCACACAGACACTAACTCTGACTCATTTGTACAGTTTATATATTTTAGTCAGAATGCAGCTTAGTAGCTCCCTGCTTACATTAGTACCAACACCCCAGTTTACAATTCAAATAAAATATTATAATGACTGATATCTTCTCTTCCCGTAGATCATATTCATGGTGGGTCGAGGTTACCTGTCCCCTGACCTCAGCAAGGTGCGCAGCAACTGTCCAAAAGCCATGAAGAGACTGATGGCTGACTGCCTGAAGAAGAAGAGAGAGGAGCGACCTCTCTTCCCTCAGGTGGGACACGAATAACTGCTTCTGTTTCATTAGGAGTCAATCTATACATATCATTTGCTAGATTAAGGTCATTTTGTGCTGAACAAATGTCAGGTTTCTTTTTTTTTACCTCAATTGCAACCAAAACAGGATTAAAAAAATAAATAAAAATGTTTAAAACTGATTTTGATTTACATTATAGTCTTTACCAGCAGATGGCCCCAGAGGTCTACAAGAGGATAAGAGCAGCGTGCTCCGAACACATCACTCTTAAACGTTAGTGGTTCAGTAGTACTGACGGTCTCTTTAATGTGTGTTCTTTCAGACCTTGGCGTCCATCGAGCTGCTCGCACGTTCATTACCCAAAATCCACCGCAGCGCCTCAGAGCCTTCGCTAAACCGAGCCGGCTTCCAGACGGAGGACTTCAGCTTGTACGCCTGCGCCTCCCCCAAAACCCCCATCCAGGCCGTCGGCTATGGTGAGCTCACCAGCTTCAGTGATTCAGTGCATTCACTTGTACTCTAAAGTCTAAACCACTGAATAACTGGGATTAGTCTGATGTATGGGTAAATGGATTATTTATCATTAAGTTGATTTAACTACTTAAATGTAGGAAGTCTTTTCTGAATCAATTGTAAATGTTATCAGATTTGACTCTTATTTAAAGAAAAGAGTCCAGCAATAAATCCTAGCGTCTTGAAGCAGATATTTGTGGTGTAAATATTTGCATATTTTTTATAGTTAAAACGTTTTTTCTCATGTTTTCCTTTCCCATCAATGTTGGTTTTCTTTTTCTCCTAGTAATTTGTATCTAATAAATTAATAGCATTTGCACTTGCCATTTATTTAACTTTGTTTGAGCTACAGGAAGAGAAACTCAACCCTTCCTGCATATATCTCAGATTCAAAGTACATCACAAACCTCAGGGTTATGTCCTTTAAGCTGCTGTAAGGCTTTAAATGTAAAACAAGAAGCTTCTAAATATAAAGTAAAGAGTTGAAGTGATTGTGGTCCAAACGCTTATTTTTTGGCTTTAACCTCTTGGCAAACAGAAACAGAGGAGATAAAACTGTAGATTAACTTCTGGACACTTATTTATGCTTTGATCACAGCTTCTCTATCGTGTAGGCCAGGGGTACTCAAACTTTTTTGTTAGAGGTCCACTTGTGAATGTTATACAAGGTCAATGGTCCGGATCAATGCCAGTAAAGTCCCCCCCCCCCCCCAACACCCCCGGAGCGGAGCAACGAAACTGAAATTAAGAAGCAGTTTGGGCGCGCTATGCATGTACTTTGGTCAGGAGGTTTTAAAGTGCTATATAAATAAAGTTGGATTGGATTGGATTAATCTACCTTATTTGGGGGCCCCCTTCTGGTCCAAGCACTTGCCTGTCGGTAAACGGCGCCCCTGTATACACACTGACATTCAATACATACATACATACAGTATCATGGCTTGAACTAGTGGGAGAAATGGCACTGTTTGTCTGTAGCCAATGCCTTAAACCTCGGCAAAAATGGCATTAGAAAGTCAAGGTAAACTTGTGGTTAACTTAAATGCGTGTCACGCTCGCGCACACAAGTAAATATATGCACGTTCATTCTCAGAACGCGTCAGACACAAGACAATATACATTAAAGGGGACCTATCATGCAAAATGCACTTTGTGATGTCTTTTATACATAAATATGTGTCCCTGGTGCGTCGGGGAACTCACGCAGCGTCAGAAAATAAAACCCGCTCTCTTTTCCTCCGTACCCAAATCTTTTAAAAACAGGGGTACAACGAGCGGATATAGATTTGCTGCCAATCTGACGTCAAATCGGCAGCGGACCCACATAAAGTTGCTATCAGAAACAATGCCTGACGCGTTTTGAATGTGTTTTGGACGTAATCTCGTCTTTGTTTACATTAGCAAGCCTCGCTAACACTTAGAGCTAACCTGTACTGAAGAGCACATGTGTTTTTAAAAAGCAGGAAATATAAAAAGGAACTCACCTTGTGATAAACCTGCAAGAGAAAAAGCATTTGAGCTCCATACTGTTTCAGAAATAATCCTTGATGTGGTTTAGAACAGGATGGCGTTTTATCACAACAGAATTGAACTTTATCTCCGATAGAATTCTGATCAGGCTTCGCCTCCTTCTTTTTTTTTTTAAGCTAAGGACCCAAAATCCGCATTTCTCTAACAGGGCTGCACAAGAGGGGTATGAGCAGTATGAGGCATGGCTAAAATGGGTGAACTGTTTGGTATGTTAAGCAAAAAACTTCACAGACCTATATTTGTATAGGTATGGCCCTACAATATATATTTTCCAATATAGCATAATAGGTCCACTTTAATTTACATCAGAATCAGATTTTTTCTTTTTAAATAATTTTTTTTTGTATATAATGGGACCATATACAGTCTGAATGGGACACAGGGTTCGGTCCGGATTCATTTGCAGTTCGGTCCGGATCCGGACCTTGGTCCGGAGTTTGAGAAGCCCTGGTGTAGGCCCTTGAAACCAGAATCAATTTGAAAAGAGGTGCCTCAGCATAAAGCATGTGAATATGTCACAGTAGAGGCACAAAACACGAATATGAACCTGAAAATGAGCATAATAGGGTTGTTCTGCTGCTTTTGTAATGTTTCACTAATCTTCTCTTCTCTTTGTTACTTTTCAGGGGAGTTCTCGGCATTTAAGTAATTGCTGCAGAACCCATCAGTCCATCCCTCGTCACTTCTCAAAGTCTCGTGTCCATACGGTGGAATCATTCATTATCGAAAAAAAACTGAAAAAATGTGTCTCAATGAATGTGCTTTTTTCTTCCTCTGTCAACCTGGAGAAGGCAAGCCTCACTGGAGTCCTTTTTTTTTTTTAAACAAAAAAGCTGTCCAGCAGGCAAACGGCCACAGCGACAGACAAAACTGAATTAGGGAAAAAAAACAAAAATCACATGAAAAGAAAGGAAAAACACAAAGATGTGCGGTTCTGAGGAGAAGACGGCAGACTCCACAGATGCCTGCTGGAGGGGGAAAGATGAAGGGAACAGGAAGTGGTGACGGAGGTAGAAGAAGTCGAGCCTTAGGGCGCCCCTCGTCCAATCATTTCCTGGACTGCTCTTTGAGCGCCGGCGGAAGAAGAGGCTTCCCGTGGTGGAGATGTGATGAGGCCAGGTGTTAAAACATCCCGAGACGAGCTGAAACTCAGCAGGCGAAGGAATCTGACTTGAAATATGGATTTATCTTTGAATTCTTTCACATTTTTAGCTAGCAGAAATGCTGAGCTTTTTTTTTTTTGTTTTGTTGAAGGAATGGTAGCTATTTTAGAAATCCCTCCTGTCACGCAGCACAGGCTTTTCTTTATATTTGTGGGCAGACCAAATTCTGCAAAATACACATTTAAACAAATTCAACACCCGTGAATTTTCCTTCAAAGATTTCAAATGTGTAGATTTCTGGTAGACAGAAGTTGTTCTTCAGGAAGGAAAATGCTCATTTGTTTGTCCTGAAAGCTACAGCATTGTAACGTTAATTGGCCTTTTTAGGTGAGATTGAGCCACTCCTCCTTTTCAAAGGTTTTCACGTGAAAGCAACAGAACTGGTTCTACCCGCAGATTTCCAAGAGAAAGCAAAGGAGCTGTACACAGGGAGGAAAAAAATACAGATGTGTTTGGTGAAAGCTACACAAGAGGGGTTTATATTATGTTGGACAAGCCTGGTCTGAGCTGAGCTAGTGCCCAGCGTTTACACTGTGTGTACAGTAAGTTGTTACACAGCATCTTTACAGCTACGCTTTTCCCTTTTTGCTTATCATGTTTTTTTCCACAACCTTTTTTTTTTTGTAAAACCAAGTGCATGTAGTGTCATTGTTTCTTTTTCATGTGGCTTTAATATTGCACTCAAATGTGGACCTTACTTGCTTTCCGCTGCTGACTAACCTGCTGAAAGGACTGGTGATCCTCTGGAGAGTCATGAGGAAAAATCTGATTTTTAATCACACCGCTTTACTTTCTCTACACACGTGCACCTGTACTCTTTCATTCCAGCGTGTGTTAAGGGTTGTAGGTGTTGTTACAGGTTATTTTAATTTTGTTATCGTCAATGTTTGCCTTGTTCTGTACAGGCAGGCCTGCAGATATTTACTTATTTATGTTTTATGGATTTATTTTCGCTTTATTTGAAGCTATCAGTCTTTCTTTTCGACGCTTGTTTTAGTCTTTGTGACTCGTGTACTTGCACTTTGTAGAGATGGATTGAAGCAAATGAGCGACTTGCCTTTTTTCGTTTTGATTTTGTTTTTATCGAAGAAAAAATTGTGACATACAGAGCTGATGACCCAAAACGAAACGTCCAATGCATGAGCCATCTGCAGGGGCTGATCTATGAATTATTTTTGCTTGAAAAGACTCAGTTGTCATCTATGACTTTATATTAAAAGAAAAAGCCTCCGGCAGCCGAGTATGTCGCCATAGCTACAAGGAGACTGCTGCTCTGATAAATTGTGGAGGTAGAGCACACAGCTAGAGCATCTATCCAAGCACTGGGGGACTTCTCATTCATCGAGGATATTTTTCATGCCATCCTTTACCCGCCCACAGCCATGTTATTAATGGTTTTGTTGCCTCCCTTTTATGGACATTTATTTACATTTATTGTCTCATCTTTGTGCGTTCAGGAAAGAAAAAGGACTGCAGAGATTTAACCTAGCCTAGCACAAAGACTGGAAGCAGTAGGAAAGTGCTAGCCTTGACCCAGAACAATCTTATTCCCTCCATTGATTTTCACTGTGTAGCTCATTAAATAATTTAGAAGCATGTTGAAAATACAAACCACTAAGACATGTTTTATGGCATTTTAAACTAGGCCAGGTAGTGATTAACAAAATGTCAGCCACCTGTTTTTGTTCCACACTTCAAAAATGACTAAGAAAATTAGCTACCATCCAGTCAGTTTGTATTTTTAACATTCCGCCAATTAATAATTTGATGAGCAGCTCAGTGTTCTCAAACAAGTATCTCTGGACTGGATACGACCCGGGTTAAGACAGGAGACAAAAGCATGAATAGCCAAACACAAATCTGCGTTAAGCCTGATGATGCCTACTGGTGAAAGGAAGGAAGTTAGTTAATTTCAAATGGCTATTGGATGGTCTTTGGTCCGATATGATGTCACTATGAAGATACTGGTGGTTGCAGAGCATTAAGGGTTGGGCAAAGGCTTGAAAGTAATATCCTAGGTTTATTCGACTTTATTCTTATCAGAGTGGTGCAGTGACCACATTTTGCAGGCCGACTAAAAGGATCCCTTGACTATAATCAATGGGATTTTTCCATTGGATTGCGGAAAATTGAAGAAAATAGCTCTTTGGGGGATCTCCACATTCTCTCAATACTTTAAATTTTTTTTTAAAGCATTAAGTTACAACAGGCAGAAGTATAAATAACCAATGTCAGGCTATAAAGGGACTACATGATGGTCATATGACTCCTGGTCAACACCGCTAAGCTAAAGGGAAACTGCTCGTTTGTCATGAGGATGTTTATTAGCCTCTTTAAGTCACCTTTTAGCAACTGCTGTTTTATGACACAAATAAGCTTTGGACATTCACCATTGGGGTTTATTGATGTATTCTATGTCCCAGAACAAAATGTATTAACCGCAGACCATATTTCAGGCATCAAACCAAAAACTCATTAAAAAAAACATTGACTTAGAGACGAGAGGAAGCGGAAGTATTTAAATGTTAACTCATTTCCAGATTTTAAGACTCATTCCTGCACCACTCTTGTTTATATTTTTGGTCATAATTGTGGTCAAGTTTATTACTGAGATCTGGGAACACGGTAGAGATTTCACGAGTGTCCGATATGTTGATGGTTACGCTGGTTGACCTATACTTGACTCCTGTGTTGGGGTTTGACTGACATAGAAACAATAAAGGCAGTTTATTAAGTATTACATATCACCCATGTAACACCTCTGAAACGATGTAGAAACATGAGTTGAAATGTTACGGAAGTTTTCAGAAGATTTGAGCTTGTTTGGGTTGTGAGGGAGACTTTGAGTAGATATAATTAATACATTTGACTGGTACACACAGAAAAGGATGAAGTTGTGTGGCGAAGGAGATCATTGAAGACTCAAGGCTAGGAATATACCCGATTTCTTCTTTTAGTTTTGTTTCGAGCACGCATTTCTAGGACTTCCTGTCAATGTCCATATAGTCTTACAGTTCATTCCTAACCTCAGAAATAGATGTTGACAATACAGGCTCAACTTTACTTGCTTGTTCTAGAGCGTTTGATCTTGGCAATTACCGTTTCCCAGGTCAAAAATGAACTGTCGGCCTCACACACAGCTTTTGTCCTCTTCAACAGGAAGTGTGCTGCATTTATTTTCTGTAGAGATCATTACTTTCTATGATAATATCACCACAGATGTATCTGCTGAACCTTTATAGAATCAATAGGTGTACACACTGAGCCCCATCACTAAGGCTCTCCACATAATGCTCCGCCTCCTCATCCAAGACTTCCCGTTCTTGAATTTCGTCTTATTTCTTGAACATTCCCTCCCTCTTCTCCTTGCCTGCACCTTAAACCCATTGATTCCTTTCAATTGAGAACTATCATGAAAAGCTTAATGTTTTTTTTCACCTGTAAATAGTTGTACAAAGGAAATACTGTCAGTTTGCTAGGAGGCATGGAGACTACCAATGTAACAAATTATAAAATGTTCAAAATAAAGACACGGAAACTAAGAGACATTTTGATAGGCAGACTTCTGAGAAAAAAACGGATGAGTGTAAAAATATTTAAGGCTGTATCATAAGAAGAAAGAGCTTAATGTATTTGTTGTGAATATGAAAAACTGATATATTAAAGAAGTGCATGAAAACTGTAGTTGGGTTCAAGTGTCGTTTGTATGGTGACGTGTTGGTGTCATGTTGAGGTGTGTTTTTCCACTGTAACATTTTCCGTCCACATGGTGGCAGCATGTAACACTGTAATGTGCCCAGAAACATCTGCTTCTGTAAGGAGAACACATTTAAACTATACACTCAAATTTAAAATATAGATGTTAAATTATTTTCTGTTCTATTACAAGCTTCCTAAAATGATCATGACTTTCCATCTCAATTCCCTTTGAAACCCAGCATTTTTACCAATTCGACAACCTTTTCAACAGTGCATTAAATATCAGTGTAATAAAAGTATCAAAACATGTATATGCAATTGGACAGTAGCACATTCACGATTGTCATGGCCTGGCTCTTGGCCATAACAAAAAGTGTGGGAAGGACGAGAACATATATGAAAAATATATTTATTAACAGAAGCTTAACGTAAACCAAAAAAACAAAAGACGAAGCGACGTAGCTGCTCCGAGGTCAGATCCTCTGCGGGGGAGAGATTGCAGGTCTCACTCAGGCCCTTTAACCCTCTGGTACAGGCCGCCAGGTGTCCTCAATCCCAGCTGATAGACCAAAGGGAAAACCTTAAAGGAACATACACGTCACACACCAGAGATAACAAGGCAGGGGTCGTCACACCCACCCCCTTAAAGTCGGTGTCCCCAGGACCACCGGCACACCAACCCCGACAAAACAAAAAAACACCAGTAATGAACAACAAAAATACAAGACATAAGGCACCCCACTTCCAACAAAACCAACAATTGCAACCCTCACACTGCCAACCGCTCCTCCCACACCCAGCCACATCTTTAGCAACACAGGTAAGCTACCTGAGAAGCACACTTTAAAAAGGATGGGCAGAGCGAGAACGATTTATCAAACAGTATGACAGACAATACATTACCGTCACGGCCCATGTTTCCTCAGTTGTAGCAGTTAGTTTCACTGGCTTTACTGCAATGCACCGCAACGAGGCCAATGTCGCCACACCTATAACATTTCACCCTACTGCAACGTCTCTGGATGTGACCAAGCCCACCGCAGGAATAGCACTTCCGGTCGTTGGCATGCCCACAGTCACGAGCCATGTGTCCTTGGTCTCCACACCGATAGCAGGACATTTCCTTGCCTCTTCCTCGACCCCTGCTGCCGCTGCCGCCGCCACGACCACCATCAACGCTGCCGCCACCACGACCACCATCAACGCCACGACCACTTTGACTAGTGGGACAATGCTTGGTCTTCTGGTTACTAAACATGTTTTTGTCCATAGCACGAGTGATCACACAAGAGGACGTGACGTCTGCCAACACTGTAGAGCTCTCCTCAGACCTTGACTCAATCGGACCGCCAGTCACTAAAAGCACAGGGGGAACATCAGTCCAGACTCTGCTACCTGCCAAACCATTGCCCAGGATGAACTGTATCCCCTCGATTGGCAAAGCTGGACGTACACCAACAGCCACCTCACCCTTAACAAGACCACAGTCAATATACATCCTATGAACAGGAATAGGAAGAACTTTTAATCCCATTCCCCAACTCAGAACGGTGTCACTTTCATAAGACAGAGGCAAAACAGAGTCAACAATATAGGAGTCAAAAGCCCCTGTGTCTCGCAAGATTTTGATTGGAACTCTGACATTACTACCTACCAATGACACCAAGCCGCCTCGTATAAATGGAGCATAAGATGCCAAAACCTCAGATCCACCTAAGTGGGATGTAAGCACATCGGCAACACAGCAGCTTTTCACAGGAGCAGCCAACGCAACAGGCCCAACAAAATATCTTCCTCCCTCAGATTTTGCTCTGCGCAGGACAGTCTGCCTTCCAATGGCCTTTTTCGCAACAGTAGTGGCAAATATCATTATTATCCACCTCAGATTTGACCAAACCCAATTTCCTTGGCTCCATCCCAAATGAACCAACATCAACAGCCTTTCTCCTTCCCTCAAAAACAGCCAGGGCCCCAGAGCGCCTTCCGAACCATGCTCTTATGAAGCAACACAAACTCATCAGCTGCCACAGCAGCTTCAGCCGCAGAAGTGACCCTGTGTTCTGTTATGTAAGTAGCAATCTTGTCTGGAAGAATATTTTTGAACTGTTCCAAAGTCATGAGCTCACACAAATCGTCAAAAGTAGTGACGTCAAGACCAGTTAACCAACGCTTAAAATGAACAGACAAATCCCTCGCCATCTCCACATATGTTTGATCTTGTTTTTGCTCAAAGGACCTAAAACGCTGTCGATAGGCCTCTGGCACCAGTTCATATGCTCTAAGCACCGCCAATTTTATTTTACTGCTCTATCCTCAAGAGATAAGGAGGAATATCAATCAATTAATCAATCAATCAATGTTTATTTATATAGCCCAATATCACAAATGTTACATTTGTCTCAGTGGTCTTCACAGTGTGTACAGAATATCAGTATGACAATACGACACCCTCTATCCTTAGACCCTCACATCGTACAAGGAAAAACTTCCGGAGAAAACCCAGTTTAAAGGGAAAAATGGGAGAAACCTCAGGGAGAGCAACAGAGGAGGGATTCTCTGAACTATTGGCCGGTATCGTGACAAACTATGACAGCGTTTTCATTGTCGGGGATTTTAATGTGCATGTCTGTTGTATCTCTAAACCACTAGCTAAAGACTTTCTTGATGTTTTATATGCTTTTGACTTCATACAACATGTCTCTGGCTCCACGCAAGAGCATGGGCACACATTAGATCTAGTCTTATCCCATGGTCTGCCCATTTCAAATGTCAATGTGTGTGAGGCAGCTTTATCGGATCACCTGCCTGTGCTATTTGATTTTATTCTGCCCTGTCATAGTCTTAAATCATGCGCTCCTGTCTGTCACGGTCGTATGATGAAACCTTCCACTGCTGCTAGTTTCTCCCCTGCCTTTGTTAAATTAACAGTCTGATACTATGTCCGCTGACTCCATGGACACTGAGCTATTAACCTCAGCCTTTCTCTCTTCCTGCACTGGAGCTCTTGACATTGTTGCTCCCCTGAAACTCATGCACCCCAAAGTTAAACCTGAACCCTGGCTCAATGACGTCACTCGTGCCAGGCGTGAGTGCCGGCAGGCTGAACGCAGGTGGAAGAAGGACAAGCTTCATGTAACTCATGACATTTTGAAAGAGTTGGAGAAAGTATCAGAGCACTGTAAAAGCTGAGTTACTTTTCTGATATTATTTCTAGTAATTTAAACAAACCTTGTGTTCTCTTTAAAATAATCGATGCTATTGTAACGTTCCCAAGATGAGTCGGAGACAGGCTTGTAGTTATTAGGCTTTAATAACTAGTATTTGAAGACAGATGACAGGTCAAGTACACTTTGTGGGTTCTACCGCACACTCCACTCACACTAACTTCTACACATACCCATATATATAGCACTGTCTACGTCACAACTCCCCCGTCCGCTCCACCAACCACAGGCCCGCACCTCAGCCACCATCACGGTGCAGCTCTATGATTGTCAGAGAGACGGGGGATGCCTAAGTGACACCCTGAGTAGCCTATCAGGATCGCTACACTACCCCCCCCACTACAAAGTTCCTCGCCCACGAGGAACAAATAAAACTCAGCACAAACACTACCCCCACCCTCTCCAGTACTCTGCAGGGACCAACCCACTGACTGTCCAGTTTTGGGCACCGGCCTTTCTTCCGTTGTGGGCTGTAGACCCAGACCAGCTCCCCGGCCCGGAAATGCAGCCCTCTTGTCCTGGTGTCATAGTTCCGCTTCTGTCCACCTCGTCCAGTCTCAGCTCCATCTCCTTCAGTTCGCCTCCGAGTCTGAACCTCACAGAGTCCAGGGTCTGCTCCACCTCTGCCTTCATCGAGGCCTCTCTGTGTTGGGCGTTCTGCTCCATGATACTCCTCTCCGCTATAGCTACGCTTGCCTGCTTCTGGGACTCATCCAGCTGAGGTTTACAGGTATCCAACTCTGCTTCTGTCCTTTTCAGGTCTTCTAGAGTTTTCAAAGTCTCCAGCTGGGATTGTCCTAGCTTATTCTGGAGCTCGTTGTAACCTTTCTGCAGCGCCTTAGCGTCTCTACCCATCTTGCTGATCCTCTCCTGGTACTTGATGCAGTCCCTCTGCAGCTGCTTCTCCCTCAGCAGCTCCTCCTGCTTACCAGACTCTGTTTCTGCTCTCTCTCTCTGTGCTTGCCTCATGTCCTCCTCCAGCCTGGCGGCCCGGTCGCTCTCGCTCTGCGCCTCAGCCTCCAACTCGGCCCGCTCCCTCGCCAACCGCTCCACCTCCCGCTGCAGCTCGGCCAAGTGCTCCCGGTTGTCCGCCGCCTCCTGCTGGTAGTCTGCGATGCTGCCATTGAGCTGGGACAACTGGTTCGTCAGACGCTCCTCCAGGTTGTCCTTCTCGGCTTCCAGGCTCCTGAGCAGCTCTTTGAACTGCACCTCCCTCTTGGCACCCTCCTCCACCAGGCTCCTTTCTCTCTCTTTTCCCTCTTGGAGGCACTTCTCCAGAGAGGCCACAAGGCTCTCCTTCTCTTTACTCTCCTGGAGATCTCGCTCAAGAGAGGCCAGCTCCGCTTTGAGTCTAGCCTCCTGTTGCTGCCGCAGTTCCCTCTCTGCATTGACAGCTGCTTCCATCTCCCTCATTTTCTCCTCTAATAAAACGTTAACACTTTCAGTCATTTCGGTAACCCATACAGGCTTCTCCTCCACTCTGCAGCTCCTCACAGCCAGTGGTACCGGCCTTCCGTTGCTCCTCGCCGCTACACTCCACACAATCTCTCTCTCCACAGCCATCTCCAAGGCCGCCTGCAAGGACTGTGGATGCTGCAGCTGTACCCCAACCCTCAAGTCCGCAGGGAGGAGAGCCCTGATGAATTGATCACGTGCCAGCTCACTCTGCACTCCGGGTGGCATGTGTGCATATGCCCGCCGCGTCAGGCTCTCCACGTCGTTAGCCAACGCACGCAGCGTCTCTCCAGACTTCCTACAGCG